CCCGCCCGATGGAATGGACGGACTCCGTTAGGGAAAGCGGGACCCGGCCAGTTAATCCCCCTTTCCGGTGGCGGAATGGCCCAGGGCATTCGTGGCAGACTAGGGGACCTGGGTTCAAATTCTCTCTCGGCCGTGGAAACTCATCAAGGAGAGCTCCCCGCTCGGTTGGTTGACACACAGGATCTCCATTTTGACCCAAGAGCCTCCCCGGGTGACTTTTAGTCATAGACAGGAGGGGAGGCACCCCTGCAGATCCGTGGGTCCAAAGCTTTCTAAGCACCAGCCTTTGCTTGTGGGATCCGAATCAAATAGGATTCAAATAGTGCAGCCCCTTCAGATTCTGTGAGAGGCACCCAAGCCCAGGTGTGCAGGTTTTGTAGTCCTGCTGGCTGCCTTCTGCAGTGGCCGACCGTTCCAGGCAGATTTCAAGGGCAGCCCCACATCACCTCCTCCTAGGCAGAGGGCATGTGGGTCCCCTTCTGGCTGGGACGAGAGGCTAAGAGTTCTTGGAACCGTTCTGGCCAAGAAGAGTTTTGCCGGATCAGCCGCTCCCTCAAGGACCTTCTCTCCCCTGGGTCTTCCTCTCCGCGCAGGGATTCTGCCTCCCTTCATTCAGGCGCTTGCGGACCCGATTTGTGCTCCAGCGGCTGCCCAGCCCTGCCAGACTCAGGTAGGGAAGAGAGACAGCGCTCGATCCGAACAGGGTCATGATGGCACATCCTTTCCAAATCCCTTCATGACCTGAAGTTATGTGGGAGGAAATGGAGCGTGCAAGATCATATAATGCGGCAACATGAATTTGTGAGCAGGACGGTACAGGTAAGAGTTCTTCCGGCTGGAGTTTCAGGAAAGCTAACAAAACTGAATGTACACAAACAAGCTCCCTCTCGTCCAGGCTCTTAAAACAACTCTGGAAAAGCGAGGAAATGGACCATGGCAGAACACGCCCGGGTCCTTTTTCAGCAGGTCTTCCTTCTCTTTTCCACACGGGGAATTCCGTTTCACTCGGGAAAGAGAGGTTAAGCCAGTCCAGTCCCAGAAGCCATTCCAAAAACTGCCATTTTACGCTGCCCGTTCTCCAGTCCCTTTAGAGCCAGTTAGAGGAGTGTGTTATTTATCATCACGAGCGTATCAAAGCATTTGAGTCGTTTGTGCCGCTGGATCCTTCTCCTTTTGTGGAAGAATCCTACCTTGCGAACAAGGAACCACCACCGACCACGTCTGCTCCAGCACCACCGCCGTCCTGTGCTGTTCGCACACGGGCAGGCCACGACACCATCAACGGGCAGAGAAGGGGACACTTCTTTTAGACAACAACTCCCAGAACCCACCGCCAGTCCAAGTGGGGCACCCTGGGAGTCACAACCCCCCCCCGGCTGCAAAAAGAGGACTGTCCGTGGGCCTGACGCGAACAGGTGGCTTTATCCTTCATTGATCAGAGATGGCTTGCTACTTCATTCATCTGCGTATCTGTTTAAACCAAAACATTTGGCAGGCGCGATTGCATTAAGTTAAAAAAAAACCTGAACGCCCGCCGTCTCTTGAGAATGCCATTTGTACCACGGAGCTGAAGTTTGCGTTAAGAATTCAATGGATTCTGTAGGTCAGCAAAACAGCCGCGCAAACCTCATTCAGGCAAGTGATGTGAGTTGCACAACAACCCGCCACTCCCCCTGGCTTATCAAAAGACCGGGGTGGGGTGGGGTAATTCCAGGCGCTTCTTCATTCTAGGCAGAACCTGGAAAAATTGTGCTTTCCCACTACATTTGCCAAAAGCCGACTGGGAATTCTAACTGATGGAAAACCAGTAAATTCCCCCCTCCCTCCCTTCCCCCAGTCCTGGTTTTAGCCACCTTTTATCGCAGGGTTGCTTTAATAATATTGCAGTCCTTTTTGGAGGGAAGGTGACGTACAAATAATCAAATCAACGAAAGGAACATTCTTTCTCTCTTTAATTGGGTCACGGTGAAACGCTGCTTTGGGTCCTTTTAAGCAGAAAAGTATGAGAAAAAGAGTGCGGGACAATCTTGCATCTTGTGGGAGGGAGAATGCACAAAACACACACCACTGGACAACAGAAGAGCCACAAAGCGATGACAACATTGTCCCTCTTTTTATTGTCTTGAGACGAGGTTGTAAAAAGATCCATGTAACAGCCACTGAAGCGCCCACCCCGCCCTCCGAGCCACAGACCGGCTCAGGACCCATCGCTCCTGGTCAGTTCCTCTTCCCCTCACACACAGAGACTGGGTCATGGCAGGCCCCAGACCCCCCCTCCCTTTCCACTGTCCACCACTCCAGCTGGGAGAACACACGTGGGGGGGCCCCCAAGGTGGAGCAAATGAGCACTGTGTTTGTGATACACGGGACAACGCCAGCCACGCAGAGATGGGCCGGCAGGGAGAGGGGTCCTCGCAGGAGGTCTCCCTGATGGGGCCAAGAGTTGCTCGCGGCCTCTCACCCGCCCGGGGGCTGACAAAGGTACAGTTCAACCCCATCCAGAGGGCCACACGGTCCTCAGCCCCTGGACTGGGCAAGAGGGCTGCTCCGACAGAGCACAGATCACGGTCTGCCGCACCCAGCCAGCCAGCCAGCCACAGGGCTTTCGAGGCAGCCACTGTTCCTGCCGTCCCTGAACAGGAAGGCTCCATTCCGTCTCGTCACAAGGTTCCGGCTTTCAAGGGGCCAGAGGTGCAGACCTTGCAGGGCAGGATTAAGCCTCGCCCTCTGCCAGTTTTCTCTTCCCACTGATGGCCGCTTTCCCGCTGGCTGTGTTCTGATGCTGCTGCGGACACACAAGTAAACTTGGCCCGAGTCATCAGGAAAGCAGAGCCGCTGGGTCCCTGGCCAACCGAGAGCTGCAAAAGAGGAGGGGAAAATAAAAAAAGAAAGGAAGGGCCGACGGTGGAGGCCTGGGAAGGAGCGTCGAGATTTCTGCCTGCCTGGCAGTTGACTGGGAGCCCCACTGGGAAATGCACCTACATGCCACTGAAGGGGCCGGGGAGAGAGAGAAGGAAGCATCCGTGGCCAAAGCAGAGGCTCCGGCCACAGAACCTCCCAACTGGGCGCTGCCGCTGGCAAGGCCCAGCCGCGGAGAGCCATGCCGTCCGTCCCCGGCTGCATCCATTCGCAGCTTTGGTGCTGAGTCTTCTGCCGCCAGCAGTGACTGAAGGAGGGCAAGAGAACGTGATTGCACCCATGTGAGGGAAGCAGCCGCCGCCGCCGGCGGGCCCAGGCGGCTCCTGTCTCAGGATGAGCCGACCTAGAGCCCCACTGGACCCTGGTGGCGAGGGGCACGCCCCACGCTGCCCGCTCAAGCCCCGCGCTGACGGTTCACCCTCTGGAAAAGGAGCGGCGACGCGAGGGGCCTCCAGGCGTTGCCCCCTCCAGCAGGGCCTTAAAAGGGGGCCCGCTCTTCCCCTCGCAGCTGCAAGACCCGGAACCACCGGCCGGGGCCACCGTCCCTGGCAGTTCCTCCCCTCTGGGCGAGCGTTGAGCCGTCGGTCCTTGCCCTCGAAGCTGGACGGGCGCTGTCCTCGGCCGGTGCGCTCGGCCTCCCCTGCCACACCCGGCCGGCAGGAGCGGGCGCTTTCTTCTCCAACCGCCCGACGCGTCGGTGGCGGCATCTTCTGGGATGGAGACAGATGGTGTCCCAAGGGATAAAGAGAACTTTATTTAAATAAACATTTGTCAACATCTTTTTACAAATTACAAGTCCCCAGGTCCAACTCCTCCTCTTCCAGCTTCTCCTTCTCTGTGGTGGCGGTGGCGGCGGCGGCGGCAGCGACAGCTGCCCAAAGAGATCTAGGTTCCAAAGCTGCCTGTCGGCCCCTTGAGTAGGTCCACCAGGATGTCCAGGAGCTGGCTGTGCTGGTGGTGGAGGTCGCCCGGAATGGCCGCCATCTCGTAGCAAAGGCAGGTCTCCACCATCCTGGAGAGGGCCACCCGGAAGTCGCGCAAGAGCCGGATGGTGTACGAGTCTCCTTCCAGCACCAGGAGGTCACTGTCCACCAGGGAGACCGTGGCCCGCCAGCCGTCATCTTGGGGGGAAAGGACAGAGAGAGGCAGGAGGTCAAGAGGGCAACCCAGGAAAGCTCCCTCCTTCAGAAATGACTCAGGGTTGGGTGTGGGGGTGTGTGTGTTGAGCACCCCAGATCTAGTGCTGTCTGTGCCGTTAAGAGAAACCCTCTGGTGACTGAGTTGCAGTGTGGCCACAGCCAGGAAGCACCTTCACAATTCTACACAACAGAGACCAGCAGGAGGAAACACAGGCTCCCCCCCTTCACCCCAGAGGGGTGACAGCCGGAGGGGACACAGGAGGCGAGCAGACGTGGCCGCAAGGGGAGAACTGGGACCTCGGCCACCACCTGCCCGGGGACTTGTGAATCCCATCCTTCTTTCTCCTCGATCAGCAGTCCTTAACTTCTTCCTGTTTTTACAATCCCCTGCCTTCTATATTAAAGTTAACACTCTAGAATTAAGGCAGGTTGCCTAGTAAGGCATCATACAAGCAAAACAAGCGTTGACCTTAATGGGCAGTGTTCTATATTAAAGTTAACACTCTAGAATTAATGCAGGTTGCCTAGTGTTGACCTTAATGGGCAGTGCAAGGGTCTCCTCGGAACACAAGACAAATCATTTGGACAGGGGGAGCCCCCAGCAGGAAGGGTGGATGAACCCTCTCCCAAGCCTGCAGAGCCGCGCAGAGGGCGTGCGTCTCTCTCCCCCAGGAGGAAAACCCTGCTGGGAAGGACCTGGTGGGAAGGCCTCCCTGCCCAACCGCAGAGTTCAAGCCTTGCGGCGCACAGACACTGCACCTGAGCAGGTGCTTTTAGCTGACATGAAAGACCCGACTCTGTCCGAAGGGGAAAGGAAGTTCCTTCATCACAAACTGGATCACTCCCCCCCCCGCGCCCACCTCCATAGGTGGGCCAGCGAAGGAGGTGGCGGATGGGCAGGACTCACCCCGCACGTGGATGTCCGTATCCGTCATGAGCAACACGGCCAAAGGGTGCACCTGCGAGGAATCGCGCACAAAGACCCCTCCATTGGACTTGACCGCCATGAAGTAGGTCAACCAGCGGCTGTACAGCTTCGACGCTTCCCTGCAGGGAGAGGAGAGGGCTGCGGTGACACCGGGGGCACGCTTTCCCACCCAGAGGAGAAGCACCCGCCCACCCGCCTGCTGTGCGCCAAAAAAGAGGCGCCTGGGCTCACCGGTTGATCGTCGACTTGTGCAGGAGAACCGTTCCAGCCTTGGTCCGGTAGGTGTAGCTGTTGGGCTTGAACTTCCCCTGCCGGGTCACCTTGCCTTGCCTCACCTGGGGAGATGAACAGACAGACAGACGGGCGGACTGACGGACGGGCAAGGACAAGGTACTCGGGGACCAGTGTGGCGAGAGAGAGACTTGTGGGAGGGGCCGGACTTCCTCTGCAGCCTGGCACGGAAGGGGAGGGTGCTGGGTCTCACCCAAGGGCCCTGGGACTCCAGCTATGCCCCCCCTTCCCCTTGGCTCCCAAAATTCATCCACAGGACCCCCCCCCATCATGCAAGGGGAGAGTGGCCCCGGCCCCCCTGCTAATGCCAACATTTCTGCTGAAGAGGAGAAACCTCTCTCCTCCGAAACGGTGTGTGTGTTACTGTGAACCCACCCCCAACCCCTTGGCCAACACGCAAGCCTCCAGGATCACACTAGACTTTGAAGCCGGTAAAGCGTGGCTTCTGCCCCCCCCCGCAACATCCGCCGCAAGAGAAGCCCCTTGCCCTCCCTTGCCCAGGTGGAGCGGATGACCTCACCTGGATGAGATTGGGGTAGAGGCCCGCCATCAGGACGCCCTTCACCAGCTCCTCTTCCTCACTGTACTGGTTGCAGGCCGAGGAGGGCAGGAGGCAGTCCATGGGCGTCGGCACCAGGTAGGCTTCGTAAAGATTTTCCGAGAACTGCTTCACGAGGCCTGCACGGGGGACAGGGGCAGAGCTGAGCGTCAGTGCCAGGGAAAGCGCCAGGCCCTCGCTTTCCCCGGCGGTGGTGGTGGTCTCCCCCTGCCCTCTTTCAGGTTGCTAAAGGCTTGCTCGTAACACTGTTGGCTGGCTGGCTGGCTGGCAGGGGAAGGCAGAAGGCAGGAGCTGCAACAAGCTGTTCTTAGCTCGGCTGCCGGGTCCAGCAGGCAGAACGAAGGCTCTGTGCAACTGTCCTTCCTTCCAAGCAAGGAGGGGCCATCCACAGCCTTTCCCATCCTGGAGGCCCAGCAATGGCTTCCTCCAGAGCCGGGCAGGGCCCCTGGAGGTTGTCCTACGGCCTTGGAAACGACCCCCCGTAAACCCAAGAGAACTTTGTTTCATTCCCCCGCCAGGGATGGCAGGAGATGCAACCCCCCCACCACAGGGAGGGGGAGGAGGAGGCGGCAGCAGCTGCCGAGTGATTTCACTCCAAGGCTATCCCTGAAAGAGGCCCTCCACGCTGGGAGGAAAGGTGTTTTGTTTTTCAAGGGCCGGTCCCGTCCGGAGGGGCTCACCGTTGATAAAGCGGAGGCTGGGCGCGTAGAGGAGATAGTCCTGCAGGTAGTTGTCCCGGGCGCGGCTGTCCCTGCGCCGGAGGACTTCCTCCCAGCCCGCCACTGCCCGCACGAAGGCCAAGTGGTCGCTGCCGCTCTCTCGGCTCAGAACGGCCTTGGCCTGGGGGAAAAAAAGGAGAGCGGCTCAGGCGGGCGGCCAATCTTCCCCTTCCGGGGGCTGCTTCCACCCCAATACCTCCGGCGTGCTGCTGCTCTCTCTGCCCGGGAACTCACTTTGTCCACCTCGGTGCGGTTCTGCAGGCTGCTGCTGAAGGGGTCCCGCGTCAGGCAGGAAACGATGACCAGGAGCGGGTGGATGCAGCGGTAGATGGAGGCCAGCACAATGGCCTTGGCCAGCCGGGGGTCGGTGGAGATTTGAGCCAGGCGCTTGCCCAAAGTGGTCAAGGCCTCCCGGTGGTCCAGCACACCTGAAAGGGCCTTCAGCATCAGGAAAGGCGGGCAGGTGGCCCTAACGGCACAGCAGTGAGCCAGGAAAAAGAGCGGGTCACTCTTTCTCCCCCCCCGCCCTCCCACCCCCTGGTCCCGCAGGCATCAGGACCCCCACGCCTGGCAGGGGGTCGGCCACGCCCTCAGGGCTCACCAATCTCCTGCAGCAGGATCACGGCCTCATCCACAGCTTTGATGTCGGGACTGTCCAGGGCTTTGGAGAGGAATTCCACCGCCTGCAATCGAAAGAGGAAGACACCCAACGGGGGGCTCACCCAAAGGGAAGGGTCCCCCCTCCAGCCCCAACACCAGCCGCTGGCCGAGGAAGAGAGGAAGGCTGCTTCCCATCCTCCAGGCCTGAACATGCACAAGTCCCTTGCCTTAGCTTTTGAACCACTTTTCAAAGACCCCAAGGAGGCCAGGCCGGGCCAGGCAGGGGGGGAGACAAAACCCTGCAGACTCCAGCCGATTGATTGTCTATGCCTGGGCCAGGCAGACGAGCGGATCCAACGGCCCAGCAGGGCCTTCCCGGGAAAAGCCTTCCGGTCCAAAATCAGCGTGACCCATCTGGTCTCATCTCTAGGCCAGCCTTTCTAAAACTTGACAATGGCCAAGTTCTTCAGTAAGACGGCAAGTGTTCGAGTCACAGCGGTGCAGACCAAACATGGCTGGTGGAATCCATGGAACGACCAGCAGGCCCTGAGCCCTTCTGGCCACCAGAGGTGGCTTTCGGTTGAAACAAAAAGGTAGCCAGGGCAGGACCCCAGCCTCCACAACCACTCCAGGGAAAGCGGGACCTTCCGGCCGCTGACTAGAGCAAGGCAAAGAGAAGGGAAACCACAGGACACGGATGGCCCGGCTTTCCCTGCCTTCCTTCAAGCCTGGCTCACCCCCAGATGACCAAAGGTGTGTGTGTGAGGCGGGGATGTTACGGGGGAACCCTACCGACTTTTCTCACTCCTGAAGGTAGGCGGGCAGGTGGGTCCCTTTGCTCGAGGTGCACCACCTACCGTTTTCTCCGGCATGTGGATCTTGGCCTGAACCACCAGGTTCTCCAGGGGTGTACGGAGGATCTCGGGCACCTGGAAGGTGGGCATCCGGTCCAGGCGGCTGCGAGAGAAGAGGTGGTAGGCAAAGCCCGACTGGCAGCGCCCGGCGCGTCCTCGCCTCTGGACGACGTTCGACTTGGACACCCACACCGTCTCCAGGCAGGAGACCTGGGGAAAGAGGAAGTCAGGACCCCACCCGTCACCTGCTCCTGCTCCGATCAGGCCGCCTTGGGTCCTTTTTCAAGGAGAACGGCGGAGTAAAGACGTTTCAAATAAACAAGCAAGCCAACCAAGCAACATCTTTAGACAGAACAGCACCCGACGTGGCTGGACATCTGGAGTACAAGAACTTTTTAAAGAAACAAGCAAGCAAGCAAACAAGCCAACCAAGCAACATCTTTGGACAGAACAGCACCCTACGTGGCTGGACATCTGGAGTACAAGAACAGCACCATTCTGACACCCCCCGCTCGCCCCCAGTGGTATGGGATGGAAACCGCACAACCTTTGAGGGCACCTCACAAAAGCTGCCTCCGAGCACTCACCCAGCACAACGCTGGAGAAACTAGTTCAAGGGAACGCCGGCATTTGAGTAGTTGTCTGACGTATATGAGAAGGTAAGATATAAGAAACAGAAGGCTAACAGCCTTGGGCCGTGGTGGTTAAACTGCCGCCCACACTTTGCTCACGACCTGAATTCAATCCCAGGTAGCCGGCTCAGGGTTCACTTAGCCTTCCATCCCTCCGAGATTGGTAAATTGAGTACCCAGCTCACTGGTGGGCGGTGGGGGGTGGGCAATGGGTAGCCTCCATAATTAAAAAAACTGTAACCCACCCAGAGAATGCTTGAAGGGCCTTGAGGTAGGGTACAAGCAGTATTCTTTTTCAAAAGAGGGATGAATTCCATCCACCCTGCTGCTCGTTAAGAAACCCTTAGTGGTTCCCAGATGTTCCCATGCACTTACCAGAACCAACTTTGTTCAAAAACACAAATACAAAGATGAATGGTTGGCCTTTGGGATGGGGTGGGACGGAGCAACCAGGAGATGGGCCTGGGGTGACCTTCAGGAAGCAGAGCAACATGTTCCCCCCCCCCAAAAAAAAACCCCCACTAACCTTGGTCTTGAGATCGTAGCGTTCCTCCTTGTGGGTCCCGCTGTCCACCACGTGGACAATGTCGTTGATGGTGATGGAGGTCTCGGCAATGTTGGTGGCCAGGACGATCTTCCTCACGCCTGGAGGGGGACGTTGGAAGATGCTCTGCTGATCCATCATGGGGATGTTGGAATGAACTAAGAGGAGGAGGAGAGACAGGAGACTCACCATCAATCCCGCCTTCTCCAGGAGGAGCATCACGAGACACACGGCTGTCCTTGAGGCAGTCAAGCACAACCACCTCACCACCACCACCGCTCAAACCCAAGGCAAGACGGGAGAGGTGGAAACAGTCGCCCAACCTGGTAAGACGAGGTAGCGGCTGTTGTGAGATCCAAGCATCTCCAAGAGGCGCTGCTGCACTCCCTTGATCTCCTGCCAGCCGGGAAGGAAGCACAGGAGGCCACCTGCAACGAGCAAGGAGAGAGGCCGTTGCCGCCTTGACGCTTCCTGCCATCATGCTCCCCTCGTACGGGCGCCCCACGGCAACACCTACACCCCCCTCCCCCGTGAGGTCTCCTATCAGAAAAAGACAACGCTCTCCAGAATTTCTTCTTAATTCCTAGTCTGACTTTTGCTCCTGTCTGAAAAAGCACAGGCTCCAATTATTCTCTCTCTCTCTCTCTCTCGGCAAATGCCCAAGGCCTCAGGGCAACCTGGAGGGAGGGAGGAGGAGGAAGAGGGCTGCAGACTGAGGTCCCACCGCCTACCTGGCTCTCCTTGGGCATCAATCTGAAGGATGAGGTCCGTGATCAGCTCAAGGTCAAGGACACACTCCTCGTCTGATTGCTGGGGAAGGAAAGAACAATGGTCAGCCCCCCCAGGAACTGAGGTCCTGTCCTGTGCACACCCATCGCTCTGGAGAATTCCAGGAAGCCAACTCTCCTTGGACAGAGAAAACAAAAGAAGGCAGCATGATTCGCCACATTCAACCCACGCCAGGGTCAAAGGGGCCCGTACGTCCTCTGCACTTTCCTTCTTTGGGGCCGGCATCCAAACTGCTGCCAGATCCTTTATTCTTAAGCTCAAGTTCTCAGAGAAACCCATAAACACCTGTGAAACATCAGCCCCTTGGATGCATCCTCCTGATGCCTTCCCTCCCCCCAAGTTAACTGGAAGGGCATCCTGAATCTTAATCCCTAGAGATTAAAAAAAATCCTTCTGTTTACCCAGGATTAGACCCCCTTACACACAATGGCATTTGCTTCGCAACACCATAGAGTGACTGAATGAGAGGGAGTCCCGGCTACGTGACCGTGTACAGGACTGGGCTACAAATCTGTAGGGCGAAGATGTAGCGACTACCAGAGCCTACGTCCCCTTTCGGCTCAACCACGCCACCCACGCTGCACTGAAAAGGAAGACGGGTGGTCTTATGGCTTTGAAGGGTACACGGCCCCAGAGAGCTTCGCCCGTGACTGCCTGGCCCGCTCCTCACGCCGCCCCGGGCTCACCTTGGTCTCATATTGCCAATTCCGGCCGCGCCCGAGCATGGCCATGATCTCCTCCAGGTAGTACTCCTTCACGGGATACATGAAGCCCGGGACCTTGACCACCGGGCAGTCCCCAAAGTACTGGGCGAAGCGCTTGTTGTCCCCCGTGGCGCTCATCAGCACCAGCCGGATGTGGGGGTTCTGCTTCTGGATGCCCTTCAGCAGGATGAGGAGGAAGTCGGTGTTGACATCCCGCTCGTGCACCTCGTCCACGATGACGTGACTCACCCCTTCCAGGTGGGGGTTGCCCTGCAGCTTCCGGAGAAGGATGCCCACCGTGCAGAAGAGGAGGGCCCCTCCCCGGGCCGGGGGCTTGCTCTCCAGCCGCACCTGGTAGCCCACGTTCTTCCTCATGTTGGGGCCCAGCTCCTGAGCCACCCGCTGGGCCACCGAGATGGCGCTGATCCGCCGAGGCTGGGTGATGACCATGTTGCACTGGGCCCCGCGCCCTTCCAGGATGTAGTGCTCCAGCATCAACTGGGGGATGCGGGTGGTCTTCCCGCAGCCCGTGTCTCCGGCGATCACCACCACCGGGTTCTGCTCCATGGCCGAGAGGATGGCTTCTTTGTGGGAATCCACCGGCAGTGGGTGGCTCTCTTGCCAGGAACTGCCCCTCCTCTTCCAAACCGCCAGCAGGTTCTGGCTGAGGCGCGCCTCCTCCAGCTCAGACAAGGGGATGTAGGTTTTGCCCGTGATGGCATCGCTGAGGGTGCCAGACTCCTTGCTCAAGTTCATCATGTCTTCGGCAAGCCGCGGCCGAGATTCGTGAGCATCCAAAGGATACTGGAAGGGAAGACAGAGTCAGTCAAAAATACTTCCCCAACCTTCTCTGTGGGGCCTCTGCTGGACCCTCAAGATCATTATAGTAACTTATAGTAACTCAGCTAATCTTACAGAGGAGGGGCAGGGTCTGTTCTCAATCATCCCAGAGCACAGGATACATAATAATGGGCTCAAGCGACATGCGGTCAGATTTCATCTGAATATCAGGAGACAGTTCCCAACTGTTAAGAGCAGTATGACAAAGGAACCCATGGCCTCGGGGGGGGGAGTGTGCCAACGCTGGAGGCATCCAAGAGAAACTGAGACAAGCACCTGGCGGATCAGCTTTGATTTGGGTTCCTGCCTGGAGCGGGGGGTGGGTGGGTTGGACTGGATAGCCCGCTTCCAATTTGTCTTTGGTTCTACTCAGTGAACTTTTTCGGCAATTTAAACAGGCCTGACATAAAAATGAAAATTGATCACAGTTGCTTGAAGCCCCATGCTTTCGGGGGGGGGGGGGGGGGGAAAAACCACTCC